TGTACATAGTATCCTTTTATGTCAAGCTCACCGGGAAATATTGTATCAACATAAGAATGGAAATTACCATTGTTAATTGACAATACGTCGTTGATACCCGGTATATCTAAATGTCGAGTCGAAGTCCACAGCAAGTGTTTTCTTCTTTTCAAGAATAAGATTTCCCAGACAAATTCTGCTTCATATGAATACAAAAAATAAGTTCATTTTAAAATTCTATGGTTGTTTTGTTGATTTCTTTTACCTTTTGTTTGATCGTATTTTTGCCGGATTGTTTCATTCAAATTGCTAAACAATTTTTTTTTTTTTTTTTTTTTTTTTTTTATACGTACGACACTACTTTTTGGTTTACTCCATTTACCAGAATCAACCGTGAGACATAAACCCATTGAATATACAGGTGATAAGGGTATATTGCTACATACGCAAGGAAAGTTTACGATAGAAAAAATGATGTCATCACGCTCTTTATTTAAAAGTTTTGTTGTCAGGTAACCATGAAAGCCTTTTTCAAGAAAAATGTCCAAAAATATGGAACAGATGCTTCCGACTCTTTGGTATCTTTTATTTTAAGTTCCCCTGGATATATGGAAACAACATATGAATTGCAGTATCTATTGTTAATTGATATGTCGTCAATATATCTAAACGCCGAGTTGTCGAGGTCACAGCAAGTGTTTTCTTCTCATGTGTAACTTTTTTAAATAAAATCAAACAATTTCTAAAACTGTTTAATTATTGACAAACAAGTTGACGAAACAAAGAGATCAACGGTTTCATTTTAAATCAGCATTAATGTCAGCATTTCGCAAGTTCAATGGTCGTACAATGCCGGACCTTATCAGCAATTAAAGACAATCATTAAGTCAAATGCTGACTGACATTTCTCATAATTGTCAGGACATGACTGCCTATGGATTTCTTCTTCGATCATAACAAGGAGCAGAAGGCACGTGTGTTGGTTGAGAGGGGTTGTTTACTACTCCATAGCACCTGATCCCAGACCTAGTGTTTTTAGAGGTCCTTGTTCTCCTTGTCCAAAAGAATTGTTTCAAAAGAATTTTCAGTTTGGTTTCTGTTCGATATCTTCATAATTTATTCGAAAACATGGAGCATGCAAGGAGTGGAAACAATATAGTGTCCCAGACATCTCGTGCTCAAATAGGACTATTGTTACGACCAAATATCAGTTATATTAGATTCTTATTTTTACGATGGGCATATCATCATGTAAATGTTATTTTCAGACCTTGGCAATCTACTAATATTATGAAAACTAAAAGAGAGAGAGAGAGAGAGAGAGAGAGAGAGAGAGAGTGAAACAGCAGAATTTTTTGGATCTCCAAAAAATCCTGGACGCGGCACCAGTTGATGAAATGTTCTCTCTGGGAGCCACGTCATTTTTGATCATGAAAATTTGAAGACATTTAGATTATATTTTGTATATCTTGACTGTTGTTAAAATGATTCTAAGGTCTAACTGAGTCTTATTATGTTCCCCAAACGAAGTTGGGGAACATATTGTTTTTACTCTGTTTCTTATTATTATTATTAAGGTCTTCCGTCTCCAACGGAAGACCTTATTGTTTTCGTTCGGTTTCTTTTTCCCTATTATTATTTTTCTTACCGATTTTGTGCACGCGATTTCTCGGAAACGGCTGGACCGATTCTCACCAAACTTTCAGATCTGATAGATATTTATCTGAACCTTGTCGGAAATTTTTCATAAGTACGTCGTCACTTCCGGTCGTGAGATATGGACAATTTACTGATTTTTAGAGGGTCGGCTTGTCCTGAGATCTCCTCCCAAACGACTTAAGATATCGACTTGAGATTTTCAGTGAAGGTAGAGGAAGGAGAGTAGATGTGACATTTTGCATATAGAGCTTTCCAGGTAAGAAGGCATTGACGCTCGCCTGGGCTCGAAAAATAGGCTCATAAGCATCTCGCAAAAATTGACACGTTTTCTTTTATATCTTTTTACCTGTTAATATTTTGTTAAGACATATATAATAAAAAATGTGCAATATAGTAAGACCTTTCATTTGATATCAAGTAAATGGGGTTAGCCCTTCAAATTAGGGGCATAGAGGGGCCAAAAGTCTCTCGTCTTTAACTTTTTTGTTTTTCAATATTTTCAAATTATATTAGTATAGTTGATAGAAACATTTCTTATTAGGCTGAATATATAATTCGTTTGTAAATTTATGAATTCAAACTCGAGATATTAACATTCAAAAATCTGAGGCGGGACCAAAATTGCGGCGGACTCTGTCAATTCCGACATTTCGCAATAGCGGTTTACAGAGGCAGCCGAGCGTTTGCTTGAACGAAAGTAACATAAGGAGCAATGAAATGTGTAGGGATACTTGGATTGTCACGTCGTAGGTTCGTTGCAATTCTGTGTCAAACTACATTTATAATCCAAGGTCTCCTTACAAGTCTTCTTTAATTAGTTTTGGTTGTTTCTCAAAGTAGAAAAAGAAAAGAATGTGCAAATTAAGTACGCATTGATGATATTATCTAAATCAAAAGAATTTAATCAAAAGAGAAAAGGCATGATTCCATGTTGTTTTATCAAAGATCATAGTCAAAATCATATCTCATCTTATCGAAAATTCGGACGGAAGACCTCTCGTTGCTCGCAACGAGATCGCATCTAGTTATTATTATTATTTTTCTTCTTCCTGGGAAAATCTTTTCCGCGAATGATCTTGTAAACTACACGTCCGACTTAGGTGAAACCTTTCTAGGGTCAGTAGGCATGTTATGTAGATTTGCCGAACAAATGTCATTTTGCGCGCACGTGCTTGCAAGAGCGCGCACGTGCAACGCGTGAAATGACCAAAATAATAGATACAGCCGTAACTTTTCTATTTTTTGATTATATGCTTACATACTCATAATATAAGTATATATTAGTAGTATAGACGTGTTGACATGGTCAAAATAGCAAGATCTCACGCGCATGCACGTGCGCTTCGCTCTGATTGGCTGAAACTAAAGTCTCAATATCTTTCTTGTTTTTCGTCATAATCCTTTGAAATTTTGAACTTAGTCACACATAATGAAGATCTACAGCATGATATATAATATTTTCATGAAAGCACGTACATGCACGTGTGCTGGCAAGAGCGCGCACGTGCAACATGTGAAATTACCAAGATAATGGATGAAGGCGTAACTTTTATATTTCTTAATGGAACTTTTTGAAACTCACAATGCATGAATAAAGTAGTAGTATGGACAAGATGACATGGTCAAAATTGCAAGATCTTACGCGCATGCACGTGCGCTTTGCTCTGATTGGCTGAAACTAAAGTCTCAATATCTTTCTTGTTTTACGTCATAATCCTCTGAAATTTTGAACTTAGTCACATATTATGAAGATCTACAGCATGATATATAAGAATTATCATGAAAGCACGTAAATCCACGTGTGCTGCAATCTGATTGGCTGAAACTTTACATGCCTATATCTTTCTTGTTTCTCAACAAAACAGGATGAAGTTTAGAATATGAATAGCTATTATGGATTCCTACATGATATTGCTATCAAAATTGAATGCAAGGACGTGCTTGCATACACATGCGCACACGCAATGCGTAAAATGAACAATATGTTTGAAAAACGGTAACATTCATATTTTTATGACTTTTTATTGATTTCTGGAATATAAAGATATGTTAATGGTTTAGACAACATGTCATGATCACTTTGCATGTGCATGCACGTGCGTTTACGAACAATGCGTTAAATGACAAAAAGTTAATATCATTGTAGTTTTTAAAATTCTTTTATGAAATCCTGTGAAACTAAGCATATTGAAATTTGCACAAAAAGGGAGTTGAGGAGCGTTTGGGGAACATCTGTAACGGTCCCCGTTACAATTAGAACTAGTTTATTATTGATAACAATGTCAGATTTTAAACATTAAATTACAATTTTTAGTCTTCATCTTGGATACATGAAATAATCTGTTACTTTCCATGTTTTTATTTGATTTATATATGTCTTAATTCTTGCATCTTTTTTTCTAATGATTTCAGTATATCAATGAATGCTTTGTTTCCATTGTACCATTAATTCGCGTATTGAATCTCTTCAATGCATACTCTAAGTTGATACCATGCATGGGATACATTCTAAGAATTGGTGATTACAACCAAGGAGGGAGGTGTTTCCCTAATCCCTGTTATCAAATAATCAATGATTTCATGAACTGCAGATTTTTTTTGGTTTCAATTAATAGGTAGAATGTGCTTCTAAAACAATATAAAAGTATTAAATAAAATAAAGGGGATGTGGAACAGAGGGGTATACCTAATCTTTATTTCCCCAGATTTCATTAATAGTTCCAAAAGCTACAGGGTTTACAGCCTTATATATTAATCCCCTTGCAGATCATAAAATGTTTATTAATAAGAATTATAAATGTGTAATTGATGAGATTTATATCTTTTGGAAAAGAAATCAATATTTTTTTCCAAAAGCAAAGTATAACTCATTTAAAGCTTTTCATTTATTCATTATTTCTGTGTTAAATGTCAGTATTTTACCAAGGAAATATCGACATTCCATATGTCTTATCGATTTTTTTTTTTGCCTTCAAATTAATTTACAGGATTATCAGCTATGATGGATTTTTTTAAAATATTCAGTTCAATGAGTTTGAAGGAAGCATTTCAATTTTCCTAAATCCTTAGTATAAAGAAGTTGTTTTATGGCGAACCAGAAACCCCCAAGAGAATACAGATTCCACGAGTTGTAATTTGCTCTCATTTTGTGACGACAATGCCTTAAAGACCAAACACTGAAATATATGGCTATTATAATATGCTAAACAAGCAAAATTTAGTATTTTTACAAAGTAGATAGGGAAAAATGAAATTTTAAGAGCAAAAATGGTAATCTGATAACTAGGCAACATGTTTTAAACAATGAAAAGAATTCTTCAAGCATCGATCACTTATCACACAACTCTTTCCAACATGTTTTGATTTGAGATCCATGCTCTTTAAATTTTTTCAACAATATCAATACAGCAAAAAATAATTCAAGCAATAGTTGATATTTCGAGCGCTGTGTATTTAAATCCCATATTTTCAAAACAGACTTTAATGTTTTTTTCTCTCCCTCGGACATGTCATGGATTGTGATCATCGACTGACGTCGTTATAGATAGGACATCTTAGTTACGATCGTCACTGTTTGTGTTGGTACAATACCGGGGCCCTCCAACTCTCGCTAGTGGCTATTGGGACAGTGGAAAATTAAACATGGTAAGTGGTTGTTGTGTTTTAAGCCAATTAACTTAAAAAATATCAATGCATACATTTGAAATATCAAGTAAATAAAAATTTGTTGAGTTTCCCCCAGGAATATATGTAAAATTCGACAACAACGCTAGTTGATTTCTCAGGGAGCATTTTAATAGCATATTTTAAAATTTCATAGTTTAATGTTTCTTTTTGTTTTTTTTTTTTTTTTATAATTTTTTCTAGATCAAGTACTGTTTGTTATCTTTAATGTTTTTATTACAAATGAAGTGAAACAGAAACAAAACTTAAGCAAAAAACTTTACTCATTTTAAATTTTTTTCAAACCAATTTAAATGCCGCCATGAAGATACAGAGTGATCAACTTTTAAAGAGATTATTGCGCAAGTTTAAAATTTGGATTGAAGCTCAAATTCAATCAACCATTGATGAATACACAAGGATGAAATATGAGCTAATAATCACTTTCGCAAATAACGAGTACATGAGGAATGTGAAAGACTTGTCCCAGAATTTATTATGAAACTTAAGAAGTGACTTAGTCACAGATCAATCGCACGTTAACATGCTATAAATTAAACAATGTCGTTGCCAATAATTGTTTTTCTAACCATTTAAACCTGTACGTTCAATACTTTCTCAGTTTCTATTGATGGGAATTTTTCGTCCAACAGTCTTGGGAACAATGCATCATATAAAAATCGAATTCAATAACTCTATTCAGAGTTCTGTTTATATATTACCATGATTTACAATGACTGAGTCGAAAAATGAAAAAAAGTAATTATAGGTATTGAAACTCATAAAAGTACAAGAAAACGTACCCCCTCCCAACACATACACACTCACTCTTACAGACACAAAAAGAAAAAAAACAACGTAAATAATAATAATAATAAAATATTTTTCAATGGTCTTAATTTTAGATCAATACATGGTATGCTTGATGTCCAAAGTTAATTACAAATTGTACTCTGAAAATATTAAGTTTTAATGTAATAATAATCTAATTGAAAACATGCCTTTGCTACATTTTCTATAGATTTAAAAGAATTTTAAAGAATTATAAAACTATCTCTATCCTTTTATTTCAGGGTGAGCTTTCAGATTCACAAAGACAAGGTAATTATACTTTATATATTGTACTATTATTTTGTAAGTACTTGTATCTCACTTTAATAGGCATTTCTTTATCGGAACACTTTATTACAAAGCAAGTAATTTATTTATATGTACAGAACAGTTCATATCAAACAATATATATATAAGTAAGTAAAATCTATTTCAGAGCACTTCATCAGAACAGTCTTTTTAACAAATGCATAAGAAACTTTGTAGTAGAACAATTTAGCAACACAGTTTGTTCATTAAGCTGAATTTAGAATTGCTACATCCTACGGTTGTTTTTGGCTATTGTTAGAGTCTCAAAACTGTATACATGTATGGGCAATAATTTTCAAACATTTGAGATGAAAAGTTCCAAACATGTTAAGACCAAGACTTGCTTCACTTTAACACTGATGAAATACATTCCGTACATTTCAGAAATAAAATCTGCTTTTGAGTTGTTTGACAAGGATGGGAGTGGCTTTATAGATTCCGCTGAACTGAAGACAGTCCTCCATTCACTGAAGCAGAACCCCACTGACGCGGATGTCCAGGCCATGATTGACGAACTGGACACTAACAGTACGTGACGTCTCCCGAACTATCTTCTAAAAATAGTTCAAATTTATATCACATTTTGAATTTTATTAATTTACGTAAATTAAAATGTCAGCAAAGTTTCATACATGTATTCTATCTGTCCTATGGTAGGTCTTCTAATGCAGATGAAACTTTTTCGCCGATTTATTTTATACAATAAAATAAGTTGAATTAGTCTGGCTGATTAAAAGAAGAACTGAAAATGTTCCAATGTTATCTTATGACGACGGACGAAAACCGATAACAACTCTCATATTGAAAATAAATGATGGGTGATAGCAATTGTGAATATATATCCAAACTTTTCTTCTTATTTCTTTTTATAACAGAAAATGGGCAAATAGATTACTCAGAATTTGAAAAATATATGGCGAGTAAATTCAAGAACCCGGACGAGGTAGAGGATGAAATGCAAGCGGCCTTCAAAATTTTTGATAAAGACGGAAGTGGAAAGATTGACGCAGAGGAACTGAAAACTGCTATGATGAATCTCGGAGAACGTATGTCAGACAAGGATGTGAATGAAATGATTGCTGAGGCGGATCTAGATTCTGACGGGAAGGTAGATTATAAAGGTAGGAACACTGTTTAGAAGAAAAGTGAAGATTTTTATGTTGATGGTTGATTGTAATCGATTTTCTTGTATACTGAAACTTATACATTACATTGTGTTTTTTTCAGAATTCGTTAAAATTATGATGAAATAGAAACCTTCTACTAAAAGTCTACAGATAGAGGCAGCTAAAATGAAAGAACATCCGTCCATCTTGAACAAGTTGTTTTTTATGATTTATTTGAACAATGACTCAAATATGTTGTGTACTATATACATGTACTTTCAATGACAGTTTGATCCAACAAAATAATATGTTTAATGCATGATATTTGAGGCCTAAATAGACACAGAAACCGTTACAATGTGTTTACAATGTACTTTATTATAAAAAATAAAAATCTTTGTAATAACTTCATACATGATGTAATAAATAAAATACTAGTACTTTATACTAGACATATGTTGTAATATACATAAACATACTTCATACTAGATGCTTGATGTAAAACATAGATTTGTTAGTTTTTTTGGTAAGTAACTATATGTATTTTTCCCAAGAAGACTAACCTTTGGCTTTATCGCTGTTGTTCCATAAGCAGAAGAATTACTGAGTGGTCAAAACAAGTGACCCTTAGTTTACAATATCCTCTGAAATGCTGATACTTCAGAAAAAAGAAACATATCTACCTTTATCTCTGTTTCCTTATAAGGAGATGGGTGAACTTAGCGTGCAGAAAGCCCACTAGCTTCAGATATATAAAAAAATCATATTCAAATTATGAATGTAGTATTTAAAGTAATGTTCTCATCATTGATTTTTATGAAATCATGATAAACAAAAAAATTTGAGGAAAAATTTTTGTTAAAATTTATTCTTTTATATGAAAAAAAATAATGTGGTATCCATTGGGTTCGAACCCTGGCAATGAAAATCGTAAGTTGCATTCTCTGTTGAGACTAGCACGCTAACCACTACGCTACACAAGTCCTGATGAATTGTGGCATTTAAATCACATTTGTGATATGACCATTGACTAAAGGGACTTCAAGTATTTCTTGAAAAGATACAAAAGTTATGTCATAAAACTATCTTTTTAAGGTATAGTTGGTCTATGTTCCATAATTTTTTTAACCAAAATATGTATGTTTCTATGCAAACTTTGAGGATTAACTTTCAAGAAATGGAGAGAAGACCCACTCATATCATATTTCATTGGCAAATAACTTCATTCTTCATGAGATTTGGGTAAGTTGTAGACATTTTATATAAAGTATACTTTAATGAGAGATGAAATATTAAGGAAAACTTTGATATATTTTTCACCGTCATGTTTGTTGCGCTATGGGCTTATCTCACGTCATGTTCACCCATCTCCTTTAACATTAAACATCGAAAATCACAGATAAAAGTGAAACAAAATTTACAAGACAGTGTATGTGTTATTAGCAATCCCAGTCCGTTAATTTTATTTCATTTTACTGTAACAGTTATGGAAAGTTAAACCGAAACAACTCACTTGATGTTAACAACTACTATTGAATCTTACTCCTAAAAAAGCTTAGCAACTCAATTCAAACAAGGTGTTTTTATTCAACACCCGGAATGAGACCAGATGTGATAATAGTTCCTAGATAGATTATTTATCTAATTATAATAGAATGAATGACTGCACTGAGAGATGTTGTTGTCATAAAAATTTATGTTTGTCTACATATGCAAGTCTTTGCATCTTAAGCATGCATACAAATTATATGCAATGCAATAAAAAAATCCATCAAAATATCCTGGAAATGTTGGAATACAATACATTCTATGACAAAATGTGCTGACAGATCCTTCACCAAAGGATTCTTTTTTAAGAACTCCAATGTCTCTTTTGTTGCACAATTTTTAAAGAATATTAAAACTACAATGAACATTTTCTTAAAAAAAAACTTCTTAGGTTCATGGATTAAATTTACTCAGAAAAATTAGCTGGTGTCCAGTCCAGCAAAAATAAAGCAAGCAAGGTTAATTGTAGTTCAATCATAGTCCGGATATAGATAGACTTAAAATCAGGTATGCATGGAATGAGTACTTCAATATTTACAAATACACGATATACCATTAACATCTTTTATTAAAGGTCTGGAAAGTTTACCGTTCCATGCAATATCCCCTTATCGTCAATATTAAACAAGATTTCATTTGATGATACCATCCTCTGTAATACAAGCATGGAGACCGTTATTTAGCTTAAAAGCCCAATGTGGCGTATAATACCACTGGAAATACCAGCAGATACTCGGTGAGACGTGTTTGTTTGACATTGATTGGGATGCTCGGAGCCTGAGAGAACCTGTGTTGTCCTGAAACAAACACCATGGTAAGCGATTCCATTTCACCCTAACGACTACTCATAATTTCAGGTAACATACTTAAATAGGAATTTGACATAGTTTATTTAATCGTTGATGTCACACAAATTTATATATAAATGAAGAAATAAATTATTTTTGATGTTTGTATTTTTTTCCATGCTAGGGTCATAATTATGCTTCATTTTTACAGAGTGGGTTGTCAGAGGAGAAAAAGAAAGGTACATATATCACTTTTTGTATTCAAAAGGGTGAAGTTTAATTCATATCTTCTTTAATTGCAACGTTTATAGTTTTCCGAAATACCGGATGCAATTATTGATTGACTTTTGTCACGGTTCTCTACTATTATACATAGTTGTATTTGCTGTATATATTACTGAATTTTCTTTTAAGTTGTAAATTATTCATGCACAGAAAAAAAGTTTTTTCGTCCTAGAATTTTACACATAGAAATTATTTATGAAAGTTACTGAGACAGGATGTAAGATCAATTTTAGTTATCCTTGTCTCTAAAATCAACTCTGCTTTACTTTGTTTTTTTTTTATCATTAAAAATGCGTACGTTTTGACTGTTTCAATCAATCAAGAAAATAGATCTAACACTTGTGTGTTTTATCAGATTAAAAACATATAGTTATCTAATGTTTCAAAATTAGAATTCTTTAGGGCTTCTGAAATCTTGGATATCTAAATGCATATTTAATGAATATGAATTAATAATGAAATACAAATATCAAATAAAAACAGCAAGGAAAAAAGCAATTGTCATTTTGATGATGAATATTTGTTGGGAGTCACAATATCATTGTGTATAGGGTATACCAGAATCAATATTTATAACCTTTGTGACAATATAGAAATTTGTTATCAGACAATGAGATTATATCTAATAAATACGGAAGCAATGTTTTTTTTTAATCATAAAGTGCATATTAGAACGTATAAGAAAATGTTAAATGATACCTAGACTCAGAAGGTCTTACACTGTATAATTTTTCCAGACTTCAGACATGCCTTCAACATGTTTGACAAAGATAACAGCGGCTATATCAACACCCGAGAACTTCTAACTGTCATGAGGGCTTTTAAACAAGACCCAACCAAGGCAGAGGTACAACAACTAATGAAGCGCCTAGATACTGATGGTAATTACTTCATTAATTAATTAAGTTCATAGCAGATATAAGTCTGTTGATTACTTTAGAAAATGACTATTGATTAGAGTTCCAGTTACTTTTTGGATTTTAATCTTGGTGATGGTTAAAATAAAATCTGAAAAAAAAAAACATGCTGACTAGCTGTATCATATGTTGGGCTCATAGGTTCCGTTTAGCCCTACTCTTTAACAGGGGGATTTCACAAGCAATTTCACGGATTTCACAATTCACTTGGAAGGCTATATTTTCAACATGTAACAAGTTTTGCCTAGCCTTGGGCTTACTCCACATCATCGGATTCACGATTTTTGTCATAATTTTGGAAGAGGGTTAACCTTCATTTTATTCATGCTTGCAAACGGTTGCTTGTTAGAGTTGTGGGGTACTGAAGAAATTTCAAAGTATTTTTTATGAATGAAACATGCATGTAACGAATAGTTAACAGGCACAAATGTTTGTGAGCGAACACAGGTGTCAAAAATGGAATCTGGTGTCATAGAGGAGTACGCATCCCCATTTCACCTGTCACATCCGCCAGGTGTCCTTAGACATGATCACATAAACGGAGAAATAAGCAGATAATACAGTATGAAAATCAGTCAACATTTAATCCAAAGACAGATTGCAAATATTTGTATAAACCATAAAATATTTGTTTTAACAACAAAAGTTTTTACAAACTTTGTGGGTGGAAAAAAACTGGGGTAACTTGCGAGTGATTGGTGCTTTAACATTTCATGACTTTGACATAGTTTTGAAAGATTTTAATCTTTGCTATTTCATTGATACAGTTTTGAAATATTTTATACATTTGCCATGAACTGCCACAAGGTGGCATCAGTGTTTTACAAACACATTTTATCTAGTTCATGTGTCTAACCTGTAATTATTAATAGCGTTCTATTGTTTAAGGTAATGGAAAAATAGAATATGAAGAGTTTGAAAAATACATGGTTGAAAATTATAAGCATCCGGAGGAATTCCAAAACTCGATGATGGACGCTTTTAAATTGTTTGATAAAGATGGCAGTGGAAAAATCGACGCAGAGGAACTAAAAGAAGCCATGATGAAATTGGGGGATAAACTATCACAGGAAGAGGCCGAGGACATGATTAAAACGGCTGACCTAGACAAAGACGGAAAGATTGATTACGAAGGTAATAATTTAAGGTTCAAAGTCAAAGAGGCAAAGAACGAGGATGAGAGATATCGGCAAACTGCTATCCCTTCTAAAAAAAAATGAAATATATTATCCACTTTAATCATTTATGATATGCATTTATTAAAAAAAATTCGTTCACAAACATCACTTTGACTGTTCGATTAAAATATTTTTACTTGATTTTTTTCCTGACTGGGTTTGTTTGAATAACAAACAAAGAGTCAAGACAGGTAAAACCTAGGAAGAAAAACCATATAACCCCCCCCCCCCCCCCAAAAAAAAAAAAATAGAAGAAGAAACCTATAGCTACCAAAACACTTTCTATGGACAAAAATATCAATTTAATATGGTATCGTTACATTAATGAAGAAAACTAATAGTTAGCATACTAAAATGTCCACTGAAACAATACAGGAGCAAAGACATACCTCTAAAACATCAGAAGTGGGATCAGGTGCCATGGAGAAGTAAGTATTTCCTCCCGACTGGTCTCGCCTGCTGTGTGCTCTTTTTCATGATCTGGTAAACGATAAAATCCATTAACATTTCAGTGTAAAAACAATTACCGTACAATTTGTATGGAAACAATCAGTATTCAGTCAACATTACAATTAATGATAGATTGTATTTGCTGACAAGGATTATTATATTGATTATAAAATTTGCAAAATGTTTACTTTTTAAAATAAGTCTGTTCATATCCTTGTTTCATCAACATATTTGTGATTAGCTTGCCTCGTTTCAGAAATTATTTGTATGCAGAGCTTGCTCTTCTGTATCAAATTGACTGGGAGACATAAGCTCCATATGCAGGTGATATGATATATTTCTCATTAATCAGGAAGTTAATGGAAAAGTTGGTAATCACGTTAATCATAAAGTATTTGTTAAGTTACCACGAACGCCTCTTAGTAGTAAATATCTAATTATGAAACAGACACTTCAGATTATATGGTGTTTTCTATCTCACGTCAAAGGGATATGTTGAATCAAAGTGGAAACAAAAATGAATATTATTCATAGATGAGACGTCGTTGATATTTCTTATTGAAGACCAAGCGAGAGACTTCTTCTTTTCAAGCAGAAATTTTCGAATGAATTCTGTTTCACAAAGTTCTAAAAAAGAGGCGCAATTGGAACCATGGGAATTCTGAGGGATTGTTGGAAGACTTGATCTGAAAAACTATAAAATTATTGTCAATCTGAAATTCAACAAATCATTTAAATAAAATATCGCCAACATAGACAGAAAGATTTAAATTCCTAAATATTTCTGGACTTCGAAAAAAATCTCTATCAATTAAAATTATAAATAAATAATAGATAACAAAGCCAATATGATTAGTGAAACAGTTAACTGAATTCGTAAACTGTGATGTAGACAATTTAAACCTTTTTTAAAAAATCTATTTCAGAGTTTGTAAGAATGATGCAGGATTAAACTGCTTCCTGAAACATTGTACACGGGATTTTTATTGTGACTTTCGATGGAGGAACACAGGATTCCGCAGGTAAAATAATACCCTTTTGCATCCCTTGGAGTATACTTCTGTAACTTTGGATATGATTTTACAAAATTGATACAACAGTGTAAATTTACATCAACGAGACCAGTCAAGTGCTACAATTACGGTTTCATATTTGAAGTGTATTTATGCAGAGAATATTTCTGTTCTACATCAAAAAATGCTACAATCAACATGATGTATCTTTTAATGTCATGAATATTTATGTGTTTCAGGTTTTCTTGCTTCGTAAATAATATAATTTTTTTATATGAATTGTATATTGTACTTTATCTTGTATATAATATTTCCTTTTGTTGTTTTTTTCAATCATCTACTCGCCAATTTTATACCAAGATTGAAAAAAGTGAACCAAATTTGTTATTTTTATGATGACCATTTCTACATGTACATTGATATATAAAGAACACACAGAGTTATTTCCCTTGGGTTTGGATTATGTACTGATTGAAAAATATTATTGAAATTAGTTACAATTCAGAAATGTTTCTTCTGCAGCATCAGTGATGTACACTTGTTATCAGAAAAGAAGAAGAGAACAGCCAACTTACATTAGTTGCTACCATGCACTGTGCATTCTGAAAAAAAAAAATCAAGAGGGATACATTTACCTTTACGAAATGATTTTATCTAAAAACAAAGTCAAAGAACTCATTGGAATAATAATATCAGCTCTTATAAACTAGGCGTTTTTTTCTTTCAAAAACAAAATCTAAACCATTGAGGAATTACTGGTAATTTAAAAGTGTTTATAAGCATTCCCGATACATTGTGATGTGAATTTTAGTTTTGCATAGAAAATTGTTGCTTCAACATTAGGTTCTCAACATATCGTACTTCAAAACGTTACAGTGAAACAGCACGTGTACACAGTAATTCAATATTCATAGAGGTTTCTCGATAGATATACATTAGAAGGCGACCAACATACCCAACGATGACACTGAAGAATTGTATATATTACCTGGTATGTCATAACATATGATTTAACTGCTTCATTGAAATATACAGCAAACAGTATTCAAACTCAAAAGTCCATTAAACAATGCAAAATCCAATTCAATGAATAAAATATATTTTAAACTAAACTAATACAAAATAGGGTCAGAGCAAACACGGGCCTCCTAAACATCAGAGGTGGGATGGGTGCCATGGAGGAGTGAGCATCCCCTGCCGACCGGTCACACCGACTTGTGCTCTTTGTCATGATCGGGAAATAAGGGAAAATCCGTCGTCAATTCAGTTTGTTAATAATGGACTAACAATTAGTATACAAAATGCCAGTCTGTATTTGACTCAATGATAAATTGTATTTGCTGACAAGGTCATTGTATCAACCATAGAACTTACGAAATGATGACTTTAAACGAGACTGCTAATATTCTTGTTTCATCAACTTGTTTGTCAATAATTTACTTTTTTTTTTTTTAGAAATTGTTCATACGTAGAACATGCTTTTGCGTATCGAATCAACTGAGATATATAAACTCCGTATGCAGGTGATGAAGGTATATTGCTGCATACGTAAGGGAAGATGACGATAGAAAAGTTAAAGTCATCATGTTTATCATAGAGCTTGGTTGATAGATTACCATTAATGTCTTTTTCAAGTAAAATATCCAAGTATAAAACAGGTGTGTTAGACTCTGTGGTATCTTTTATCTCAAGCTCTCCGGGATATATCGTATCGACAGAGGAATGGAAATTACCATTGTTAATTGTCAGTACATTGTACGTCGTCGATATATCTAAATGTCTAGTTGAAGGCCACAGCAAGTGTTTTCTTTTTTCACGCATAAGATTTTGCACACATTCTGCTTCATGTGGATACAAAAATAGTTCTGCTAATAACGGAGCGCAGTTGGTATCCATAAGGATTCCAAAAGATTGTTTGAAGACATGGTCTCCAAAACCCACATAAAAATTGTCAATCAGAAACGCAAGCATCTTTTTGATGTCAACTTTAGAGCACTTGTATGTGCAATCCGAATATGTTTTAACAAAATAATTTTGCAAGTGGCAAGGTAAGTAAATTTTCGAGTTCCATTTTATTGAAAAAGCAGCTGTCAATGATATCGAAAAGCCTGGACTTTAATTTATCGTGGGGAATGGTTGTGTATAAAGTTGAAAAGTCGTACGTTTTTAAGCTGTTGATTTTGGTAAAATCTTGTGATTTCAATTTTAATACGTTTATTACTTTGCTATTTATGGTAAATATTTTGAAGCTCGTTAAAACGTGCGAAGTTTGATTTAAAACGATGAAAGTCAATATTTTTTGCCAATAGCTCTTTGAAATTTTTAGAGTATCCACATCTGATTCACACCACTTCTTGAATATATTGTTGCACAGTACTCTTGAAGTTTCTCCTTCACTACTGTTGATATCTTAGTGAGGAGTAAAGAAAGAGGCTTGGTTGAACATTTACTGGAACACGCAATGTTTCTTTGTTTGTAAGGATTTGTAAAAAAAAAAAAAAAAAAAAAAAAAAACTATACAACTATACCACACAATTAGTATTGCGTAATAAATCAAAATTAAAGAATTTAAAGACAGGAAATGAAAACTTCACCGTAGATGTCAAAGAAATATTTAAATTTGACATTTTTTTTTTACAATTACTTTACATTTTGTGACCTATATAAGCGGCATCATATAAAAAAAGATTGTTGGATGTTCCTTTCTGTTATTATTACTGAAATTTCTAAAAGATCTGAATAAATATAAATTCATTTTTAGCTCTACTGGTCAGAGACCAGAAGAGCTTATGCGATAGTAATGCGTCTGTCGTCCGTCCGTCTAGGTTTCTGTCCGTCTGTAAACAGTTTTTCAAAATGCTACTCCTCCTACAGTTTTGATCTGATTTCAATAAAACTTGGCACACAAGTAGACTACATTAAGATTCATAATTCTTTGCATCCGTTTTTTATTTCTATAAACGGTGTTGCCGTGGTAACTAAAAATATAAATTTCTATGAAAATCATTCAAAATGCTACTCCTCCTACAGTTTTGGTCTGATTTCAATATAACTTGGGACACAACTAGACTACACTCAGATACATAATTCTGTACAGTGTATATCGGTTTTTGATTTCGATGAACGGTGTTGGCGTGGTTACTAAAAATAGTAATTTCTGTGAAAAACATTCAAAATGCTACTCCTTCTACAGTTTTGGTCTGATTTCAATATAACTTGGCACACAAGTAGATTACACTAAGATACATAATTCTGTGTGTCAGTTTTTTTATTTTTGATGAACGGTGTTGCCTTGGTTACTAAGAATAGAAAATTCTGTGAAATACTTTCAAAATGCTTTTCCAAATATAGTTTGAGTCAGATTATAATATGATTTGGCATGCAAGCAGAATACACTGAGATACATAATTATCAGTTTTGTATTTTTGATTTTGATGATTTATGTTGCCATAGTATTAAAGACTTAATCAAGGATCATTATTCTATTTATTGCTTTTGTAAAGTTTAAGTCCCAACTGCTTTTCTCGTTCTTTATTGTAAATACAAACCAGTAGAGCTACAGTCTCGACAGAGACTTCTGGTTTGAAACTATCACAGCAATTTGAATGTGAACATTATCAGATCTAAATTACTATTATACATATAATACTTTAGATAAATTTTCTTTAATTTTAAAGTCTCAATTATTTTTTTCTAAGCATTAGAACCAGCTGACAATATGTATACTTTTAACCCACCCCATCCATTTATATTTAGTTTTGTAAATTTTAGAAAATTGATTAAAAAGAATAAATAATTTACAATGATGGTAAAACAAAAATCATTGGAGCATACTGAATGTTCTAGCTGTTTACAGGATTTTTGAAGACTTCATTGATTAATGAAATTTAATTCAATATGAATCTTTTAAAGGGGCTGGGTGGTTGTGGCCATTTTTAGACTATTTTGACCTCCTGTAGAAGAATTAAGAGCTCCATACAAAGATATAATAAAATGATTAAAACTAAAATTTATGAAATTTTTCTTTTCCAAATGATAGTTGACAGCTAAAGATATCATATCCCAAAATTTAAGGTATATCTGGTGGTTAATAAAAAATAATTCGTTGACCCCCTAGCCTCCTTAAAGTGGTTGGTATGTATTTCTACAAAATTCAATGAGGCATCTTGGATATATTACAAAAACCTTACTCTCCTTGACTCTTTTAACGGTTGGTTATCCCACTGGAATGTTAGGACCTGTATACAGGAATTAACAATCAATGGTTATTCCTTATACACGTTATTCAAAGAGGCAGGTATTGTATTCAGTGATATGTTGCAATGTCGAGAGGTCCGTTAACAATTACCTAGAAGCTTGCCCCTCGTGTTGGTTATACCTCAATATTGAACAATAGTCACGGAATCATTTTAGCCCAAACAAGAAATATCTGTTATTGAATTGTTTTACAACTTGAAAACAGATAAATCAAAACAAAACCTTAGAAGAAAAAATCGGCAGCGATCGTTATCTTGTAATGAACCTGTTTTAATCGAAAGTTCTTAAAGATCTGTGTTTGGTGTCTACATAGATTTGCGTGATCAAGACTTGCAGACGACAATCGTTTCTCGTGGTTACCAGGACAGGAAGTCGCTATCACAGGGTTTATAGAGTGAGATTTTGCAACCAGTCATGGTAAGGATGATTTTAAAGTTATCAGATTTTTTTTTGTTTACTCGCTTAATTGTAAATTTTTGCTTAAGAAAAAATAATTTATTTTCATAATTGCCTACAAGACAAAAAAAAAATAGCTGTTTACTATTTCATTTATTTTTTGATAATGGGAAGAAAAAGTACTTTTATTACAGGCAGCTATAATATAAAGGAATAAAAAACTTTTACAATGCTAAATTGTCCTTAAAGTGTGTTTCGATAGAAGAATTCGTTTAAGAAAGTTTTTTTGATGCACAATTAGCTCAAGTAAAAGTCCCAATTTATAACACTTTGTTAGATATTTAAACTAAAGATCAGTCAAAGTAAATAACGTTTTCATAAACACTGATCATTCATAACGGGAATACAAATAAAGTGACATTTAAAAGTCAGTGGACACCGGGAAAATTTCGACATTGTCGGTGGTACTTGTTTTCAATTCACTACTGAGCACTGTCTCGTTAAACCAAAATCTCCGTACCCACACCATCCCTTCCCAAACCTTCTCCCTAATTAATTCTGTTCTCCGTCTAATATCATTGTTCTCATTTTTAGGCTGAACAATTAACGGAAGAACAACTTCGAGGTAATAATTATAACACTTATTTTTCAAAAGTAGTACATTAACCAACTTCAATATTTTCATCACCCTTATTACTTCAGGAATATTGAAAACTGTATCTCAAATGTATACTTTTAGAATTGAAACTGGTGTTTAACATATTTGACACAAATGGAAATTCAGAGATTGACGCCAGTGAATTAGAGAAAGTTCTACAAGCAATGAACCAAAACCCCACACCAGAAGACGTGCAAGAACTTCTGGAAGAGATTGGTGCTGACGGTAAGGAGAGAGAGAGAGAGAGAGAGAGAGAGAGAGAGAGAGAGAGAGAGAGAGAGAGAGAGAGAGAGAGAGAGAGAGAGAGAGAGAGAGAGAGAGAGAGAGAGAGAGAGAGAGAGAGAGAGAGAGAGAGAGAGAGAGAGAGAGAGAGAGAGAGAGAGAGAGAGAGAGAGAGAGAGAGAGAGAGAGAGAGAGTCTTCCTTTAGATTTGGTACCAATGAAATATGGAAATAACGAACAATATTCAAGCTTAAAACCCGTTTAGACAATACAAACTTGGAGCAGAGCAAACAGAGGCCTCCAGAACGCCAGAGGTGGGATCAGGTGCAATGTAGGAATGCAATTCTTGCCGACCGGCCACACTTGCTATGTGCTTTTGTCATGCTCTGGAAAACTTTACGGAAAATATCAGTCAGCAATATAGTTAGAAAAAAGTTTACTAGTCATCCCGACTTCATTGTAGTACATAAAAAGAGAGGAAAACCAACAATCTGTTAGAATTTTCATTGGTATCAATTGCGACTTTTTATTAGCAGACCTGTTTTTGTATTATCAAAGAAACTTCTGTATGAGAAGAAATAAACATTTGCTGTGGCCATCAACTTCTTTTAAATATATCGACGATGCATAATCAATTAACAATAGTTTGTTTCATTCATATGTCGATTTGATATGCCAAGAGAAATTGAAATGAGAGATACTAAAGAGTCTGTCGCATCTGTTTCAAATTTGGATTTTAAACCAGAAAAGAGATTTCAGGTAACCTAACAACAAAACTTGATGATAAACGTGATGACTTCAACATTTCTATCGTCAACTTTCGTTATTAATATGGCTAATTACCCTTATCACCTGTATATGGAGATTATGTCTCCCAGTTGATTCGATAAGCAAGAACATGCTCGACGTATGATCAATTTTTAAATCTAGGCAAGTCATTCAACAACAAGTTGATGGAACAAGAAATCAACAGTCTCGTTTGAAATCATTATTTTGCAAGTTTTATGGTTCGATACAATGACGCAAAATGTCTTTTAGTTTCTATTTTTACTGGTTGGCGATCTTCAGTCATACCCAGTTTCTTAAATTTCCTTAAAAACTTTTGTCCAAAAGCATAATTTTTTTTGAAGTCTAAGCATATTTGTAGATGGAGTGATCACGTTTGAGCAGTTTTTACAATGCGCACCCTCTAGAATGCGTTCAAACGACGAAGAAGCGGACATGGTGAAGGCAGCCTTCCGAGTTTTTGATAAGGACGGAAGTGGATACATTTCTATGGATGAAGCTAAAGAGATCCTACAACGAGGAGAGAACGGGATCACGGACGAGGAAGTAGACGAATTCTTCCAAACCGCGGACCTCGACAGTGACGGCAGGATCAACCTTGAAGGTGGGTACCTTATATCTGCATAACTATTTAACTGTTATAGAATGAGAATAGAACGAGAAGCCAGTACTGTTGAAAGAAGTATTTACAAATGTACGTTATTAATTTTTGTTTTAGAATTTGCAACAATCCTAAATAGACCTTTTATTGTGGAACCAAATGAATGATGAAGAGAGCATGTGCAATATCAACTGAGATGAAGCAGTTTGTGTACACTCCAAATCTTTCATCGAAGAATGATATTATTTATATTTGGAACACCTATAATAGGATTTCTATTTAATGTTTAAATGATGTACAGTGTAAAAAAAAACAAACAATACATTTCCATTCCTTGATCTTGTTTAATTATTACTAAAACACAAAACGTAATTATGCTGTATTAATATGGTTGGCAAAGACAAACTACATTTTCAAAAATTGCCTTAAAAGGTATTTGTTAAAATGCAATATCACAGCTGAAACATATTGTACAAAGATATACAGTCCCTTATTCCTTAAAATTGATTTATATTCACAAAACCACAATAAAGAAAAACATAACAATGGTTTTCTTTTCTTCTTTATATCAACACTGATGACACTGAAAGACAAATAGAGAACGTATATTTTTTGTACACATCATTACATCTTAGTCTACAGAACTGATTGTCTGGCATCAGTATATGTAAATAACAAGGAGGAACCTGCCATCAGGAAAACTTAAGAAAAATCAATTACTATCCGAAAAGATCAATTCTGTCGACAAAAAGTTATCGATTCCCACTGGAAAAGAAGTAATCTTCTATACATTATTATCAAACGGATATTGTGGATAAAACATAGCAACATCGTCTTAAAAGAAAAGGAATTGCATCGGGCAATTTCTTTAAAAAAAGTCTATGGTAATCATAGATAACGAAGCTCACCCAACAAATTTAAGCTATAAGAAAGGTAAAGTCTCCCTTCAAACAAATGTTTTGGTAATGTACATCCCTTGACACAACATCTAAACCGTTGGTCCTGGTAGGATCTATAGATATATAGTAGTTAATGGTGTCTACTCCAAACATTTCCACGTTCAATCATGGTCAAGGCCAGATAAAGCTTCAATGTCTGCTTGGCAGTGTGCATACCTAGAGACAAGTCTCGTTCTGCAAGTCCAGTCACAATAGGACTTCTCGTTATTGAGAAAGGACCAGCTCTAATACAATAAAATGTTCATTCCATTTGAAAAATGTAGATTAGATCTTGCATCCGAATCAAGTCTATTATATGCATCCCTAGACCTTGATGCATCTTCAATGCAAGTCTCATCACCACATGAATAGGGCTTACAAGTACTTGGAAAGTGGATCCGCTATGTAGGTCGGATCCATCATCAAAGTACGTTAGATGTGGATGTGTGCATCCCTAGGTGCATCCAATATGCAAGTTTGATTCAATTAAAGCTTAGAAAACAGCCCCAAAACTTTGGTCTGTTAATGTATTGGAAAAAAGATGTCAGACTGCAGGTTACATCATTCATGCGTTTTATCATGGAACACCTATTATTTACTTGAGAATGACCTTGCTGTTCACTCATCCAGAAGATACTGAAAATAGGTCAGAACCAGCATCCAAAGACTGTTTTTTAGTGTGCTTACCTAGATTTATCATCCTTGCAAGTTTAGATAGGGTTTTAACTTTATTCTCATCCGAAAAAATATAGGTCAATATATAAAGCATCATAAGCAAGTTTCTAGGTGTACATCCCTTGAGGCAAAATTCACGCAACGTTGGATAAGATAAGGCTTACAGTTTAAACCAACTCAGAAATGTTAACTTGTTCACTTATCTGGATCATGTAGGTCAGATCAAGCATTCCGAAGGCAGTTTTGCAGTGTTCATCCAAATATGCATCATCAATCCAAGTTTGGGCAACATACTGTAAGTGTACTATTAAGCTTCATATTTTAGCGTTTTTGGCACAAATAACAATGCGCTAATTTATGAATTCCGCAAAGAAATCTTATATATATATATACGATGTATGGAAATTCATGATTACGCCAAAAACTCTATAACAAGTGATTGCGCAAAAATTTTGAATACGCTAATTTATGTACATGTATATGTATAGTCAATAGATTTTATTGGAGGTGAGCCTACTCCTTCAACTTTTCCAGAACAGTCAGGTACAGCATCTGTAGCCAAGATCCAACATCCATGCAAACTTTCATTTGGAAATCCACAGATTGATTTATAAAACCCAGATTCATTCACCATTAAACCTGTATGTCTAAATCTGATACACCATTTCTTTTTCTATATCCATTTTTCATCATTGGTTTCAATTTCTTTAAAAGATATATGTATAAAGACTAGATTTTTATGATTAACCCGAAAACTCTCGGTATTTTGCCAGATTGATTACAGTATTAGTATTTTTTGTAAGAACAAGGTACAGTTTCAATACAAATCTTACCCTGTGATTTTCTAAAAATAAAAAAGCTGAAACTGATTTTAAAAATGAAAACTCATGCGTTTTGAATCATTGAAATATTTTATGCAAAAATATCCTACGATCATTTTTTTTTTCTCACATGCATTTCTAAAAGCTAATTGTAACGTCATAAACGTGTGCATTTTCCCGTATTTTCTTAAAAAGTTGCAGAAGACACCAATTTTCAATGGAATTTTCTTTCAGATAAAATTGTTCACAGGGATCGCCCACAAAGATTTTTAGATACATGTAAGTGATTTTTCATTGAATTCTGCACTGCATATCCAAAAATTAAAGTGGGCGACGGCTGTGGACTCTGTTCTCTGATGGAAAATTACCCTTGAAATGAGTCATTGCTAGGCTTTTGTGCGCCCGGATCGATAGATCCGAGGCGTATATTGTATCTGTCCTGTCTGTTTGTTTATCTGTTTGTCTGTCTCCCTGTTCAACTTTAACCTTCGCCATAACTTTTGAACCTTGAGAGATAGAGACTTCATATTTAGAATGCATACTCCACTTGTAAAGTTCTTTCAAATGACACCAAGGTCAGTGACCTTGTGACCTTGACTGTGACCTAAATGCTAAAAATAACTTTTTCAAACTTTTGAACCATAGGAGATAGAGACTTCATATTTGGTATGTATGCCTCACTAATTAAGCTCATACAAATGACACCAAGGTCAATGACCTTGACTGTGACCTATATGCTAAAACATCTTTTTCGAACCGTCGTAACTTTTGAACCATAAGTGATACAGACTTCATTTTTCGTATGCATACTCCACTAATAAAGTTCTTTCAAATGACATTAAGATCAATGACCTTGTGACCTTGACTGTGACCTACATGCTAAAAATAGCTTTTTCTGTTTAAAATAGAGAAATGCATCAAATTAATGACGCCATATTTCCAGAATGGTACTCCTTCATGATATATTCTTTCCTGATCTTTCACAGTCATAAACTCAAACTAATATTGAAGCCATTTTCAAAACTTTTTGAAAACGTAAAATTTTTAGGGCACATTAAAGCTAAATCCGTACTTTCTTCTTTCTTGTTTAGCAGATGGATTTTTAAAAAATTCTTTCAAACATATACTTCAAAACATTGAATTTTAACATTTCAACATTCAGTTGAATATCAAGACACATACATATGTTCCTTAATTTTTGTATTAATAGATTGACCTGTCCCTGAAGTATAATATTTTACGTTCTGCTTTCTTAACCAGAAGAGTTTTTGAAGATTAAACAATATCATATGACAATTCACGAGAAATATCATATACATATTATTATAATGAAAAATTCCAAACTTTTATTGAAGACAATTGATAAAAGACAAAAAGAAAAGTGAAACGCTGTTTTGACCTTAAACAAACATGGATGTTATTAAGGAAAAAATATACATGTATAGTTTTTGTTTTCATCACTAAAATCTCACACAATTTGACATAAAATAACATGCAAAACAAACGATAGATTAAAATATTTAATGTTAACAATGTTTAAAGACAAACATTGAAAATTTTAGATAACAGATTTCGTGTTTAAGAGAAACAGAAGACAACATAGGGAAAATATATATATTCAAACATTGAAAAAAAAAAGAGTTCACAGTAACTTAAATGTGCATTGTTGAATTGTTGAATAACGCTGAAATAGAGTATGGAAAAAAATTCTCTGTGGTTCTGGTTCTATATGGTCGACGCCAAAATAAACAAATTATACTGATTTTTTTTTTTCGAAAGACAACTTAGTTTATACGAATTAATTTAAAGTAGTCTAAAGCTCCGTTATATAATACGTGTTCTATAGTAATCATTTGCTTCAAAAACTGAAGCCAAAGTGCGTGCAAGTAAACCAACACATATTGAACTGACCCTTTATTTTGGATCGATTTTTGGAATACATTTACAAAGAAGAGCTACAAGAGAAAGGACACTGTAAGATGGTAAGCCAACATTTATTCTTCTAGTTCTGATATTTGACTATATTCTCTAAATCATTTATTTCTATCAATCAAATGAAAATATAGTATATACGAATGAATTTGAGACAAAACAAGAAGCAAACCCGAAAGGCCAACAGATGTGTTATAAAAATAGGCCAGAATTATTTAAAATTTAGAAAAAAGTTAATCTTCTTTTTATAATGCAGTTCTTTATCTCATTGTGAAACCACTACAATGTACTAAGCAGTTTTTAGAGATTTACGTTAGAAGCTATGAAATATTCTCTGTTGGACTAACACAAAAGAACCCTACATAACTGAATAAACAAATTCAACTGAAAATTGACGTCAGTATTCCATAGAATAGTATATTGACCGGTAACTAGTACTTGTTTTTATAACACCTTGATTCAAACAAAACCCTACAAATTTACTGATTTCAGATGTTCCATGTTTCGTCACCATTTTTTCTATATAAATACCAAAAGTTAAATTCACTGTCGTTAAGTTGAATTCTGAATATATCTTTACTGTACATCTTTACTGTACGTTGTAACATTCTGCAAATTTTCACTTTACTAGAAGGAGGTAAATATGATTAACAATACGATAATACATAATCGCTTTGTAAATTTTTAAACTTACTATTTTCTTTCACCAAGAATATTTAAAAAAAACAAAACATGATAGACAATGTAACTGTATCATGTAACTTCCAAAACCATTACTAGTACTATAATTCGTAACTTTACTATGATATAATATTATGGAAGATTACTACAGATCAGTGTCTAATCTCAAAAGTCCACTATTACAGTATAAACAAGATCACTCCCGAACAAAAAAGTACCCAGGAAGAAGAAAAATAATAATAATAATTAAGGAATGAATTTAATAGCTACCCAGTTTATACGGTATAAACAGGGTTGGGGCAGTTTACGCTTTATAAACGGCATAGCGGTTAATAAAAAAGCTTAAACTGTTCCAACCCAGTTTATACCGTATAAAATGGGTAGCTATTAAATTCATTGCTTATAATTTAATTTTCATTCATTTGATGTAAGAAAAAAAGATGATTGTTCTAACAAAATGACTTCAGTTTGTACAAAATTTGAATGTAACATTAGGCGGATTGATACGTTTTTGACGCAAGTCATTGTGACGTAGGCAACCCATTTTATACTATAAAGTAATTTTTTTATCAATCATACAGCGTTACAACCAGAATTAAATTATTAAGAGACAGAGAGAAAAACATGAACCATTAAAACGTCAGAGGTAAGATCAGGTGCCATGAGGAAGAAAATTCATCTGAATTGAACGTAGTTTATTGACAAAGTCAAAAGCATAAAACACAAGTTCTACAACTTAGATAGTCTTCTCCTTACACATAATTTTATTTTAAAAAATCCTCTGTCAACTGGTCACAGCTTGTGCTCCTTGCCATGACCAGGGAAACGGAAATCCATAGACAATTCAGGTCAGAATAATTCATGTGTATTTCAAAATCTCTTTCTCCTGTTTCAGAACTCAAACACAAAAGAGCTCTCGCAACTGCAAATAGAAGGTAAGAATATCAAGATCGAATCACTACGAAGGACTTATTTATTGAAAAAACAACTTTGTAAAATTTTCTTTTTCCTAACGAATAATTTTGTACCAAAGTGTAAACACGCGATTATTTGTTTGATTATATTCTTCATTAATCATGGGCATTTAGAAGCCATTTTTCACACCATTTTGAATCAAGTGGGATAACAAAAACAAACAGCTCTACGAAACAGTATTCATTTGAAGTCATCATTTCGTAAGTTCTTTGGTCGATACAATATGACCTTGTCAGCAAATACAATTTATCATTGGTCAAATGCTGCCTGACGTTTTTCATACTAATTGTTAGTTCATTATTTATACACTGAATTGACGACGGATTTTCCCGTTATTTCCCGATCAGGACAAGGAGCACACGGCGGGTGTGACCGGTCAGCAGTGGATGCTCACTCCTCCATGGCACCTGATCCCACCTCTAATGTTATAGAGGTCCGTGTTTGCTCTGCTCCTATTTTGTATTGTTTTATGGACTTTGATATTGAATACTGTTCGTTATCTCCATATCCTTCATCCAGTCCCTGATTACAATGTTCCAACGATACATAGGATAAATCATAGCCTGAAGAAACCATGGCATGTAGATAATTTGTTAAAAACACTCCTGCTCTTTTGGTGCTTTAATTTATAGAAACAAACCAAAGCTAGTAAAAGAGCAATGATTCCCATGGGATAGTTCAAAGTCCACTTGAAAACAATATTTTTACCAGAGTTGCGAAGAACATACACTGGTAAATATATACCTTCAAAGATGTGAATTGCAAAGAATTTTTTCTGAAAAAAAATTCGAGATAAAACTAAATCTTTCTGTTTTTATCAAGGTACTCTACAAGGTTCAAAGTTAACTAAATCGATCTTGCCGAAAAGCATAATTATTTCTCTCCTTAAATCAAAATTTGGAAGAATTTTTAATTTGTTTGATCAACGCCAAACCTATTTAGATAAAGTGTTTACCAATAAATTCGATACATTTACAAAGAGAGAGGAAACTAGGGCTACACTCGTTTGCATTTGGTTTTTATATTGGCAATTCCAACTTACTTAACATTGATTAGACTGCAAGCGTAATGTTTCAAAAATACTGTAACTCACTTTAAAAAGCACTACATACATGAATGTGTTCATATGAACGCAGTGCTTACTTTTGGTCGCGTGCAGAGCGACATTTCTATTTATTAGCCAGTCTGTCACACATTTTATCATTAGAACCGTTGAAGGTTTGCACATACATTTGCTTGTCACTTTTGTAAATTACCATGGTTACTGTTCTCGTGACCTTAACTTTTGAACAACCCGACCCCTTGATTTAAACGAATAATCATATCTACATTCAAAATTAACGGGTGTTTTCAACTCAATACCGGATAAACACATCAATTTAATGAATGATTTTTAAAAAAATACTTTTTATTTTCCAGAAATCCGTGGTGCGTTTAACGCTTGTGACCATGATGGCAATGGAACAGTTGATGCCGGAGAACTTCGAAATGTTATGCAGGCTTGTGGTCAAAACCCAACAACATCCGAACTACAAGACATCATTAATGATGTCGACAATGACGGTACTACTGTATAGGGGGAAAATAACTCGCGGTGTTAATATTCGCTATATTCACGGTGATAATAAATCCGTGAATTCAAGAAACAGTGAATAATTTTTCAATAATCTCCATGTTTTATTTGGAAATTTTAGACAGTACATGAACTTCAGTAATTACGAAATGTTAGTGCATTAGCACGCTTTACATCAATTCAAGTCAACAGATAATAACCTGTATTTGTTAAAAGGCCTTTTAATAGCCAACGCTACATGTTTCATCAATCAAAACACGTGGGCCATGAGTTTTGATTACCCGTGCGTAATTAATGTCAACACGCACGACATCATTATAATCGACATTTTGATTTAAAAAAAATCATTCAAATAACTATCGAACTTACTCAAGATTTGGAAGGATATTATTTCTTCGACCTACATGAACACATTTATTACCGTCCAGTGGTTTTTCGCCGCGATGTATTAAAGATCTTCGGGTGTACATGCACTCATCGTAATACAATATAGGAAAGTTATTTGACGTTTATAGTCAAGGACTTTTGATAACTGCGATTAATCGTTTATTTATTAAGTCAACGATTAAATGAAATGAATGTCGTTTACATGTAACCATGGATTAAACGGATATAGACAAGGGAGGTAACTTCAATAACATAGGAATTCCGCGAATTCAAGAAACCTCGATCGTGTCCGATGAGAGAAAACCGTGAAAATTACAACCCGTGAAATTTATAGCAACAGTTTTTTAATTTTAATTTCCAACTTTTGATATTTTTTACACCCATCTCTACAATTTCCGGGGCTACATGTTTTATGCCCTGATTAAAGATTTGTATTTTTGTAGGTATTTCAAGATTGGCCATAGAATACCTTTCTTTAAACACTATTTAATCTTTTAAGCAAAATCGCCGTTTCTTTTCTTTATATTTCCCATATAGGAAATGGATCATTGGAGTTTTCTGAATTTGTTAACTTGACAAGAGGAATTTACGAGGATCCAAAACAGTTTGAAGAAGAAATCAGAGAAGCTTTTGGAAGATATGACAAAGATGGCAATGGTGTTATTAGTCCATCAGAATTTAAACTCCTTTTATCATCATTTGGAGAAAAGATCTCTGATGAAGAAATGAAAGAGCTTTTATCTAGGACAGATTTAGACAGGGAAGGAAACATTAGTTACCAAGGTAGGTGTACAATACTATGGAATCCAAACAGGGTCATGGAATTCACTACCGCACCATCTCGGATGTTACATTGATAGATGATGAAATGACCACGACATGAGGCTGCCAATACGACATGACAGTACGATGAACAAGACATGAAGGGGTAACACAGAGCATCATTTCATTGTTCTTCCATCGTTATCACCTTATTTAGATCTTGTCGTAGCACTATTACTCTACTGTGCCATCGCAACAACGGCAAAGCATTGCTTCATCAAAAATTGCGTCATCATATCAAATAGTGTCCCAAACATTGATAGTGCGATGCTAATGTAGTAAAAAAAACGTGGCCCTTACCAGATTTCATACAAAACCATTTATAGTACTTTTTATATAAATATTGTAGCCCTCTGTATTTGCGTTATGATATATGATTACTAGCTTCAGAGTAAGAAAAGACGTTCAATAACCTCCAGTACTCATCAATGAATTCTTATCATTGGTTGTTCCTTCTGGTTGTACTCAACCTTTTAAACTTCTACCTGATTTATGAATCCCATGCTCATATTTTAAATCGACCTTGCATTTATTCATGAAAAAGACAATTCAAAGTATGTATCTGTTGCTATTCTTCGGTGGTGAAAATTCAACAATGCATAATGCAAATTTTCTATTGGCATGCCTGCTCCTACCCATTGCATGGATGCCGTTTCCTTCTTTTTTCAACATTTAAGATTCTGAGCAGACCTCAAATCTGCAATGCATTGTCTTCATCTCTTTGTAGTAATGGCCAGAATAAATACTAACTGACTTACTTGTCATTGTAGGCCACAAAGATGTTTGTTTGTTCGATCGAACAAGTTCTGTATATAACTTACTTTGCTTTTCGTGTAGACTCTTCAATGACTGCCTTCTGGCCTATTTTTTGCTACTGTTCTGTTCACATGTACAACTTGAACATTTGATAAAACATTCATGACACAACTTCTCTTTTCGATAAATCTCAGAGCTGACATATCCATTGCTTGCCTCTATAAATCCATTACCAAATATTTTTTCCCTTTAGTCAGACATAGCATTGTGTCACTCTATCTAATCAAGAAAGATGTTGACATTCCCTGCAAATGCTATCTTGTAGCATCCGATTTGTTCCACACTATTAAAAAGATTAATCCTTGCATTGAATTTTGACTTTTGCTTACTGAAGTACACTAAACTAACACTAAAGTAATAAAATCCAATCTAATCACACCTTCAGCATTCGATTCACCTAGTAAAACAGGAGTGATGTAGGTTACATCTTGAAAGGTAACTCGAATTCTGCCAAATAATCTCAGTGGCTCATTGTTCCTAGCCACTACCTTTCTCGGCCGTTTTTCTAATGAGTTATTCTAAAAATATCTGAACACTTAAATTCTTGTCCAAATTATCACATATAAGAGAATATTATCCCAGTGTCTACTAAGAGCTAACCTGACGTTCTGTAATAGACGTCTTCACAAACAACCCAGCATCATTTTGTTGTCTGCCTATGCCTATTTCTCTCTTAACAAGAGATTGTTTGAAGAATTCTTTTGACTTTCATTTGCTGATTTTTCCCCCTCTGATTTAGTCTTCAAGACATGTCATTGTCCACAATTAAATCTTTCTGCATGGTTCTTCTATCCTAGCAATTTTCTTCAATTCTTCATTATATCGACCTTCTTTGAGAGATTTGGACTCGGTCAAATCAAACAGTTCTGAGCAAAAAAGAAATCTAAATTTCTTTGTGTCTTTCCTGATATACTTTATTTCAAATAATAAAATAAACATATAGTCATGCTGTGGAAGATACGGTAGTCATGCTGTATGTTTTATTTGCTAAAATAAAGTATATATGAAAAGACTCTGGAACTTTGATGACAGTTTTGCTCACAGCATTATCTAAATGTTGAAATAAATGTTAAATCACTCATTGTCTCTGACAGTCATCACTCTGGTTTAACAACATAGAATAGGGGGAAAAATTTAATCGTCGACCCTTCTTTCAAGCGAAAATCTCTTCTGCTCACTGTTTGGTAGATACAGGCTAAAGACATATATGCAGCACAATCAACAACTTAGGGAAAGGTTTTTCTTAGTTGCAAGCACTTTTGTATGAATTTTGAAATGAAATATGTTCAAAGCAACTTCTGGACCAAATATGAAAAACTTGCTTCCAGCACCACGAGACTTGAATGTTAACTCCTGTCCTTAAGTCATCGGTTTCCGTCCGTTCTACGCCTGTCTCAGACTAAATTCAGTATGTTCTGGAATGAGCATTTGTTAAGGAATCAAGTGCAAAAGCCACCTTCTTTTCTTATAACATTGTAGTGCCATTCTAGCTCTATTACTGAAGCATTCTTGTATTTATCTCCTTCTTTGATTTAAGTGTTAACAATTATAAGGTCAGCTAGGATATAAAAAAACGTGTAATTTGCAACCAAAATTAATCTCAAATATACGCACTTAGACTGAGCAGAAACATTTTATGGAAACTCAAGGATAATATTCTGAGAAACTGAACCTGTAAATATCATTTTGTTAAATTATTCTTCATATCTTATTTTAGAAAATAAATCAACAGGAATTTAACTCAAGAGAAATAAAATTTCACGTGTTCAATGCCTTCTCATTGCTAAGTGACACGTGCTTGCATCTGCCTGATCACTTACATACAGCCTTAAAAGCCAATAAAAGGAAACCTTATTTAACTAGATGTTGACTATTTCCAGGGAAAGGACAAGATTTCTCTGACGTTATATACTTGAAGCAGTTACAAATGTATTGTTCTATCTGCATTCATCCGTTTCTTTATCTTACCACATCTTACCACATCATGTGGTAATAAACTTTGTTTGGTTAAAAAAAAAAAACAACTAAATTCTGATTCTGATTCTAAATTTCATTGATGTTTCAATCCCATCCTACTCATTTAATTAATACATTGAAATTATCTCTGTATCTGTTTCTTTATAGAAATAATCAACCAAACAATCGTCGGGGATATATCATTTGTTACAGTTTGACAGGAAGGTACAACGTCACACTTGAACCCCCTTCCTTTTCTAAAATCCACCATCTTGCTTTTTGCGATAGGAAAGCAAACTTTTCAACAAACTGGTTTGAAGCTAATCAAATTTGGCCAAATGATTTTCTATCCTTTATTAATCGTTCACGAGGATTAAAATACTATACTGTAAACCAGAAAACAATATCTAATTTAAAAGAGAGTAGTATTAGATATAGCCATCGAATACCGGTAAATGGATATTATTTTAATCCCATACTGTAGTACATTTCTTTTTCCGCTCCTTGGAACGTATAACGTGTAATTGTTTTGCTATTCATTGGCTTATCTTTTCCCTATTATTGTATCAATCTCATACTTGTCTGTTACGGGCTCTAAATTAGTAATAAAATGTTCTGTTCTGTTCTATTTGTGAATTATCGCGCTTTGGTTAACATTCGTTAGACTAAATTGCAAACTGTTAGGAGTCAAATGCACACTCCGGCTCCTTTTCTCGTAACATTGTAGTGTCATTCTACCACTATTATTATTGTATTAATCTCCTCTTTGATTTAAAGTATAACCAATTGTAAGGTCAGCTAGTAGATAAAAACGTGTAATATGCAACCAAAAATTAATCACAAATAAATACACTTGCCTTTTATTAGCTGCCTTTCAGGACAATGTTTTTTTGTGAAAACTCTTAGATAACTTTCTGAGGAACAGGGACTGTAAAGAAATCATATGCTTTAAAAATTATTCTTTATTATGTATTTTAGAAAATAAATCAAGAAGAATTAAACTCAAGAGAAATCAAGTTGACCAATGCTACTATACTCACCTCTGCATCACAAGTCAAGTATTCAATGTCCGCTCATTTGCACAGTGATGTTTGCTTGCAACTGTCCTTATTGGGTGTCCGAGCCCTCACATAAAGCCCTCACCATTAAAGATTAACTTCAGAGAAAGAAAAAGATTTCTCTGACGTTTCATACTCTAGGCACTTACCAATGGGTTGTTCTTCTATCTGCACTCATCCTTTTGGTCAAAGTAAAGTACTGAATATTTTCCCATTGGTTATGGCATTCTAAATGTCATTAGTCAAAGGGACTTGTTATTTTCCTCCACTTGACACTTCTTGCTCATTTAAATACCGGTTATAAGTGCACTGTAATTATCTCTGTGTCTGTTTCATATAAGGCAAAATCAACCAAACAATCGTTAGGGATATATTGATTTGATACAGTTCTACTGGAAGACAGATCATCACATTTGAACCCCACCCACCATTCCTTTTCTGAAATCCACCGATTTTTTTTTTTTTTTTTTAATTTTAAAAGCCAGCTTATTTCAATTTTTTCAAAAAGCTAGTGTGAAGCTAATCAAATTCAAATGATATTTCCCTCCTTCAATAATACTCTACAAGGACTGAAATACATGTAAACCAGAAAAAAATCTAATTTAAACAAGATTATTAGATATGGTGTCTTCTAGCTATTCCCACTTTTTAAAAATCTCAATTCCACCTATTCCCACTTGCAAATAACAATAGATGTTTTGATTAGTTAATTTGTTTTTACAGTAATTAGAATAATTACATCCCATCTTAGATTTACCTGTATTTTACCGGTATTTTGTACATTTTAAGACAGAAAATAAATATATTTATCTAAAAAAATGTATTTTATTTGAAAAAAAAAATGCATATAAATATTTATTTAATTTGAAAAAAAAATAAATATATATGAAAAAAAATCATATAAATAACTGGAGTTAAATATGAAATAAATAGTTTAACAGAAAAATATACTAAAAAATATACTGAAATTCATTGAAATATATACTTACATGTATGTATGTGTAAATTTATTATGAATTTTTCTTTAATTTTTTTTTTAATAGTTATTTAAATCCAGATTTCAATTTAAAGATCAATAAAAGTCTTATGTAAAATTCATCGGTGATTGAATATTTGCTTGAGGTAATAAGATCAGGAATGATAAATGAAAACAGTTCACCGTGAACTCTTTTTACTGAGCCTTAAGATTCAACTGCCTTAATACTTAGTAATTTATTTGCTATTTTTATTTGAAAAAGTCTAATTTCTCATTGAAATAGAAGTAAAAAGTCAGATTTTTTAATTTAAAGTAGCAAATTTACCTGTCCTCTATTCCAACAGTGGTTTAATAATTACTGTTTTCACAGTCATGATATGTTTATTCGCCTAATTATTTGTTTTCACAAAAATTCCACCTACTCCCACATGAAATTTTACCTTTTTCTACCCGATTTTCAAAAAGTGGGAATAGGTAGAATGAACCATTAGATATAGCTATCGGATAAATTGATATTATTTCAATCTTACACATTTTTTTTTCTTTTCAGCTTTTGCCAAGCTGCTCCTTGGAACGCAGAAAACATAATTTAGTGAATTATCGCGCTTTGGTTTACATTCGTTAAAATCAAATTGCAGAAGAAATAAAATACATTTAAAAAACTGATTGCTTTCTTTTCAAATTATCCACCATCTATACCCATAGGATGAAACAAAGATTTAAAACTTGTTAATTTTTTCCCGTTTTCTACTGATTTTATCAAATAATATGTCTTTTACGTTCAATAAAATCAATTATTCGTTATTTTAATGACGTTGTGAAGATTTAGCAGGAGAAAAGATGGCGTGTACCCTCTCATTTCCAGCACCTCACTCAGAAAACTGCAGAGATTACAACAGAATGCAGTCATCAAAAATTCACCAGTTAATGCATTATTCACTGGAATGTCGCAGATTGCCATGGTGGGGGACACTATTGTATCGGACAACTGAAGAACGCTTACTTTTTTCCTCAGGAAATTTATGCATCATTAAAAAAAAAACTTAGTGTAATTGATTTTCAACTTCAAAGAACTCTAACAAAAAGGCTTTGGAATACATGTATATTTTTAATTTAAATTTCAAAAAGTACATACTGTACATTGTATTTTTACAAATATAAAATTCAACATATATTCACTTGTTCATTACATCTAATGACAGTATTTCAATCATGACGTTACACATTCGAACACGTCAATATTGGATACTATATGTGGATTATCTGGGAGGTCCAGTATGCCACACAAATTATTCACTGACAACTGAAGATTGTCATTTTATTCCATGAGCCTTCTACGTTTGATCTACAATGGGTCACTGGTGCGATAGAAGAATACCAGAGGACAGGCATTGCCAAGACCATGCTTATGTCTCATTATTTGAATCTTAATTTCTACGGCTCCTGTCGATCTTCGTGCGCTGTAAAAATTCACTGAGCAGAATACATCTGCATCAGCAGAGTATGTAATCTTTTAATTAGTACATAGATCCTATTTTATTGTAATGAGATTAGCAGAAAGCTGACACGAGCTAACCTTGACAAGAGGGACAGATAAGAATTGATGGTTCTCTGACAGAGAACCATGGCGACTTGCTTATTCAAAAGAAATCACAATTACATATATAGGATTTGGGGGGAAAAGACAAAGTTCTATCATCTTTTGAGAGATACATCGATAAACGTTTTTCAAAAAAATTAATTTTCGTTTCATATTTCAAAAAAACCTCATTAGTTGATCATTACTATCAAAGCGATGAAAAGGTATATTGCTTTGGGACCCCTGACTTTGTGTTTACACTGAAATTCTATAGCGGAGGGCACCTGGTTACGGCGAACAGGTAAGTGAAAAATATGTGATAAGTTTTCACAACAGCGTATGACAAATGACTTTTGTTGATGGGAGGAGAGGATTCCCACGATCTTTCACTAGCGATATATATGCGTAACTGTCAAAGAAGATTATTATCGTCTGCCCAGGCGCGCGCATCCGTCTCGTGCGGCGTTACGGAGTGACATCGCTTTGATCTTGCAGTCAAACTCTTCAAATTCTAGTTGTTCCCTATGGTTGGGTATCCACCTAGAACAAACTTGAATGAAAATCGCTTGTTTGTCACAAGTTAAAGTATAAAAGTATTAGACTCTGGCTGAAAATTGCTCGTTTTGGCTGAGAATATGAGAATTTATGAAGTGATAAATATAGGATACCTGCTTACATATTTTCTTCGCCTTTCCCGACCTTTAATTTGGCAGATCTTAGAAACCAAAGGTTGTCGAATATTTAAGATATGCTAATCGTATTGATGAAGGCGTTCGATTTGTCTTTCCCACGGTTCTCTTGTAAACATCGATCTTGCGCATATCTTTATTTATATATATTTAATTCTTGAATCATTTAAATTTCACTGGACTGGTCTCTGTAAACAAATCGTTTATTCTTTATATCTAATTGATACTCTTATAGGTTTTCTGAAATCAACGATCTATCGCGGAACAATACTGTTTAGTTAACATATGTCACATTCTTTGATAAATACACCAAGTAAAATTAATTACCTCTGTGCTTCATTCTCATGAACTTTAGGATTCTTAATCAATAAATATTTACTAAAACTCAACCTAAAAAACTGGAATATGACCAGATGTCATTTGCCGATTTTTCCAAACATCTTTAGCTCATAAGTCCAGCACGAGCTTTCGCGTGAGCATCGCGCGTGCTTTATGCAGATTTGACGAATATATAGCTGGCTCATCCGATTCAAGTTACAAGCAGTTTTGTGCATTGTGCGAGTGATATTTTTTAAAGAATACCAGAACACGGTTAACTAATCAGAGATCACCAACATAAAACTTGCACAAGTTTGTTATGAAAAAATACAGATGATCAGTAAATGGCTCTGCGTTTTTATATATCGTACGCATGAGTGGAAGCGGCGAAGGGTCTCACGCACGACCAACGAAATCTCGGACCAATAATTCCTCGATGGTGTAACCTAATCGCGGCACTTTAAAATTAAATGGAAGCGCATCTAGAGCAATGAGCGGATTTAAGTGCATATGGAGAATTTTTACAAATTTCTTTAGTTTTCACAATTTTATTGTCATTCTTGAGTGAAGTGAGATTTAATTACCATGGTCTTGAAAAGTGGAAAATAAAAATTTTAATGTATTCTTATGGAAAGTATTTATGAAATTTTCAGAGCGGGATTTGTGATCTGCTATAATATCTTTAGGAATGGTTTTAGGGGAAGGATCGCAATCATGTTTTCTGCAGAAAGAAAGGTTTCGCCAGGTATTGTTAATGATTAACACAAATTTCAATTTACTGCGATCACTGGTTTTGAGAAAAAACTATGTTCGTGTTGTGTTTAAGTGTGTTTCTTGTGACTGTGTTGGAATACAGTTTAGGATCTGGTTATTTTGAGATTCAAATTACAACTATCCAGAACCCAAGGGGTGAGGTCTTGAATGGTACCTGTTGTGACGGGGTAAGAAATCGCAGCAGCTCTTGTACTGATGAGTGTGATACTTTTTTTCGAGTTTGTTTAAAAGAATACCAGAGCCGGGTTACCTTTGACGGTTCTTGTACGTTTGGAAACAAAACTAGCCCAATTCTCGGAGGAAATACTTTCACCTATCCCTTGGATTACAACAGGACAAGACTAAAATTACCATTTGGCTTTGCTTGGACGGTAAGTTTTCCAAATTAACAATCCCCCTACGCCAATTTTTAAAAAAATATATATTTATATATTTAACTTTCTATATAATGTTGAATTATCTTTTGTCATCGATGATATGTTAAGAAAGGCTAAAGGACATAACTTTTCTGATTATTATTGTTATTATTATATTTTATGCTAATGTGCTGTCAAAAGTCCTGGCAGCATTTAAACAAGCATAGATAAAAATTGAAAATTTCATGGTCGGAAGATTTTCTCACGGTTCTACATCAGGTGTGTGCATACACCTCAAGATACCAAGACAAACGGGCACTTGTTCTGGAATGAATTTAAAACGAAGACATTCGGGCGCGTGATATAGAAGACGCACAATCAGAATCGTTTCTAATAAATGAAATTCGATAGGTTTAAAAAGTTAAAAACACAGGTGTAAATAGGGTGAATACGACGTTTATACAATATTGTGTCGATTGCAATTTTGCCCTTAGTTCTCAATGGAGGTTGAAAATGATTTAAATCTAGATATTAGTTTTCAACAATGATATGTTAATTCTCTAGAATAAGTGTGTTACTCACTTACCCTCTATTCTATTGAAAAGAATAATTCTTTCTTCGAAAATTGTTCTTACCATTCACATGAAAGCTAGTAAAAATCTTGAACTAACAAAACGAAATGAACTTTTCAACAATTATCTGCATATAACTCTTAGTATAAAAACAGCTATATAGATCTGACGATTACAAGGATTTGGTGAGAAGCGTTTTCCCACGACTAGCGATGATCACCTTGGCTCGTCTTTAACTTTATTTACATAGAAACATCTTGACACGCCGAACACACTGTCTGATCTTCATAACGAAGGGGAATTGATAGTCTTTTTGGAGATTGTTTCAGACTTGCTTTCAAACAAGCGTACCTCAAGACTCTGAAATCACGTGATTTGTCACGTGATTATTTGATGAGGAAGTAATTTTTTGATTGTTGATCATATTATATTATTATTTGTTTAAATGTTTTATATTTGGCGAATTATAAAAAAGACATATAAATATGCATGTAACTCTCTTTTCGCCTCACCATTATTAAAAACGATAGATTAAAATATCGGAAGAACTTGGCGGCTTGTGTAAACTTTGGCCAGAATGGATAAACTATTCAATGCCAAAGTTTGCTGTCAATATTATGTGTACATATTTATGCTTAGGAAAGACACAATAGGGAATAAGAAACCGAACATTGTCAGTCTGATTAAAATTGTTGAACTGTTTGGAATAATATATCGGCTTCTCAAAGACAACATTTGCCGAAGCCAATTGCTTTTAATTGCTCACAGTCGCGAACATTGATATATAAGTATTTACCAAAAAAAAAAAGAATATATATATTTGTTTTACTGTGTATAATTCCGAATCGATTATGGAAATCTTAATTGATTGCAAATATTTTCAAAGTCCAACTTGGTGATATAGTCTTGGCGTCGCATTTCATAACCAACAAAATGTCCATACAATTTTAAGCGCATATAGTTTTTACGGTATACGTCCGTCTGTCTGTATGTCTTCTACAAATCAACTTTGTCCATAACTTTTGATTTGTTTGTCCTATGGCTTTCATATTTCAGTGTATTCCTTGTGACAAGATATTTTTGGGTAAAGATAACTGACCTCTTGATCTTGTTGTGTGAACCACTCTTGAAAAATATACTAAACTTTAACCTTGGCCATATCTTTTGAACGATTTATGTTGGGGCTTACATACTAGTATTTCAGGGGTGTATTCTCTGACAAAATCTTCCCTTGGGTAATAATAATTTTAACCCTTTGAACTTAACCTTGAAGTTTGACCTATCCTCGAAAAACTTTTTTGCTAGGGATTTCATACTTCACGTGTGTTCTTTGTGAGTTTTTTTCCATATGATTGAACCATTTTGACCATTCGACCTTGATCTTGGAGTTTGGCACAGTAACTTTGGCCATATCCTTCGCACAATGTAGAGCTAAGGCTTTTGTATTTCACATGGTATATTCCTGGTGATCTTCCGTTAGATTTCATTAAAACTGAAAGACTTTAACTTTGGACATAACTTTTGAATGGTTGGTGTGCTAGGGCTTACATGTTTCACTTGTGTATTCTTGTGACAAGGCCTTTCCTTGGGCACCATTAATTTTGAACATTTGACCTTGACTTTCAATTTGACCTTCTTTTGAAAAACTTTAACCATGGTCATTACATGAATAAT